GGGAGGGGGGCGGGAAAGGCGGGAGAGATAGAAGAGGAGGAGATGGAGGAGGTGGAGGTGTTGGGGCAGCTTCAAGAGGCGTGTAAGGTGAGGGGGGCCGGGTGAGGGGAGGGGGTATAACGGGAGGGGGAAAGGAGTCTTGGGTCAGGAGCGTACGGATGGTCGTACGACTGGTTGTGATCGGGGTAGTGTCTCGATGGTAGTGTTACAGTTGCCCTGCTACCAGGGGCCCCCCGGGGCACTGAGCGCCCCCGGGCAGTGGAGCCAGTTGTTGGAGAGGACATGGGGGGGGGGAGGGGGGGGCGAGCCCTAGGGGTTTTGATTGCCACCGCTCTCACAACCGCTCAGCTCCGAAGCCTCCACCTGCCCAACCTCTTACAACTCTTACAACCCAACCCTCACTCTCACCCTCAGCCTCGCCCCCGTGTACTCGTACTCGTACTCGTACTCGGCCCACAGGCTGCAGGTGTTCGGTTGGGTTCGTTGCGCTCTGAGGAGCTAACCGCATTGTTCCCCTCGTTCAAGCTGCCGTACACATCCACATCCACATCCAGGGGTGCCGGAGCCATCGGGTTACTGCAGGTGAAGGGGGGGGACGGGGTTTGAGGGGGGGAGGGAGGGGGGATGAGGGGGGGAGGGAGGGGGGATGAGGGGGGGAGGGACGGGGGATGAGGGGGGGAGGGAGGGGGGATGAGGGGGGGAGGGAGGGGGTTTGAGGGGGGGAGGGAGGGGGTTTGAGGGGGGGAGGGACGGGGTTTGAGGGGGGGAGGGAGGGGGTTTGAGGGGGGGAGGGAGGGGGTTTGAGGGGGGGAGGGACGGGATTTGAGGGGGGGAGGGACGGGGGGATGAAGAGGGTCTGGAGAGATTGTTGGAAAGGAGCGAAAAGGGGCGAGGGAGGTAAGCTGCCAAAATGGGAAGAGGGGTTTACTTGAAGTGAGAGTGGGGCGGCGGCGGTGGATGGATTGAACCGCATAAGGGGCCCCTCAACCCCTCACACACACCCCACCGTCATCTGTACAGCTGAATGCAATGGTGGAGCTAACCACCCTCGCATCCGCCACCCGACAGTTGGCTGTGTTCAATAGCCGTTGTGCCAGTTACAGTTGTAGTTGCAGTTACAGTTATAGTTGCTAATCCCCCTTCCCCTCCCTTGCCCCGTGTCCTGCAGCCCGAGGGTGGTGTGTTGTACGGCACAGCTGCACAGCGGTTCCTTGGCAGTCTGGGGGAGAGGCAGGGGGTGATGGTGCGGAGTGGCCTGGCGCTGAGAGGTGGGGTGGGGGTGGGGTGGGGGGTAAGATGAACCACTGACGAGTGAAGCAGAGCTATCAGAGGCAGACGTAGACCCCCTCTCACCAACCACCACACCAACCACCACATCCCCCACCCCACCCCCCACCCACACACGCACACACACTGCTCAAGGTTGGCGCGACGCGGGCAGCCATTTCTTGCTCCGGGCCTCGAGCCCCTTGCTGCCCGGAGTGGTGTCCCAGTTCGAGGTGGAGCAGCTCTTGGTGGCGCCCGGGGAGGGCTGTTGGCCCAGGCATGTGCTCAGGATGTTCGGGGCGGATGTGGAGATGCAGGTGCGTATGTATGTACGTATGTATGTAAGTATGTATGTAGTATGTATGTATGTATGTAGTATGTATGTATGTACATACGTGCCGCCCGTATGTGTATGGTAGGTTTTGTGTATATATGCTCGCGTTTTATGCCTTGCTCATTGCCACTTTCCGCCGTACTGGTTCTGTTACCGTACACTCCATTCCTTCAGCATGCTTCCCTTCGTACGTGGCGCCGTGTCAGTGGTGCCATCTCGCCCCTCCCCCTCCCCCCCCTCCTCCCCCTCCCCCTAATGGTCACTAGGTGGTTCAAAGCAGTTTCGCTGCGGGGTGTGCGGCGACCAGCGAGCTCGCCCGAGTGCCTCTCTGGCGGGCCTTTGCCTTCGCCGGCACGTTCCTCTCACCCGATGGGGGGGGTAGCGGCAGTAGCGGCAGCGCCAGTGGGGCAGGTACCGGTGCTGCTACTGCTACTGCTACTGCTACTGCTACTGTCGGGCAGCAACGGCTTCAGGTGGTTAGGGGTTTTCCCGCCAGCCTCGCTGCACCCGGCAGTAGCTCGGCTTCCTTCAAATTGGGTTTGGGTTTGCCGTCGTACATGCTACCTGCTGCTGTAGCGGATCCGCGGCTGATGGCGGGCTGTGCCGTACCGGGTTTGGACCCGTGGGTCTGCACGCCTGGTGGCGCCGATGGGTGCGTGTGGGGCGGGTGTGGGGCGGGGAAGAGGGGGCCCCGGGAGGAAGGAAGGTTTAAGAAGACGGCCATGTACATCCGGGTACGGATTGGATTTTATTTACGGATTTTGGCCGATAAAGTCAGGTAAAGCTGCGGCTTGGGTGTTGCGAAAATTATTGACTGTAATGCTCTGGTTCCTAATACCGTTGGGAGTCGGTTGATTCGGTTGCTAGCTCTCCTTGCTCTTTTCGGCCCCGTAGCCAGATCTCTCACGTCCCTCTCCTCCTGCAGCAACAGCCGCATCAACTGCTGCTACTGCTGCCGCGGACTAGGGTTTCTTTAGCTGAGGAGTAGTCCCCATTCCCCCCTTCCCCCCCATCCCCCCCTTCCCCCCCATCCCCCCCTTCCCCCCCATCTTTTCCAATGCCCTGCCCGCACTCCTCACTCCTCACCACAGCTATCAGGACCTACTCTCCGGACACCTCCTCGCCACTCGGATATGGAGGGGCGTGGGGCCGCTTCGGGGGACAGCCAAGACGGTGGTGAACAACAACAACAACAACAACAACAACAACAGCAGCAGCAGCAGGGCCGCACCCATAACAGCACATAACGACACAATGGTCGCCGGCAGAAGACCCAGCGGCGGCGGTGGTGGTGGTGGTGGTGGTGGTGGTGGTGGTGGTGGTGGTGGTGGTGGCACCAGTTCGGCGGGGGCGGAGGTTCCTCCCGCATTGCAACAGTGGGGTGAAGTGGAATTGCATACCGCCACTCCAGACGGTTGGCCAGTGATAGGGTTCCTTCCGGGATTCGAACCCGGGCGGGTGCTCTTCGCCAGCACCGCAAGCTGCAGCTATAGTGACAGTATTGGTAACTGTAGCGGAGCGCGGTCGGCAGCGGCGGCTGATGACGAGCGCCTGGCGGCGGCGGCGGCGGGCCGGCGTGGGATCGGCGGCGAAAAGCGTGATGGTACGGCACGGACAGCTACGTCCACCTCAACGCCGGCGCCGGAGTCGCCGTCGCCGGGCGGTACCGCTGCTACTGCCAACAACCACGTACGAGTCGAGCAGCAGGTCGCCAACTCGGAGCCTGTGTCGACCACGGGCTGGTTGTTGGGGGACCGGCCACTGCTTCACGACGGCTACCAGCTCTCGCCGCTGGTCGCTAAGATGGCCGTGGACTTGCTGTGTGGGGCGGCGCGGCCAGCGGAAGTGGATCCGGAGCGAGTCGATCTGGGCAGGCAGGTGCTGGGGGCGCATGTACGGAACGAGGGTCTGGACCCATGGGATGGTTTGGGGCGGTGGCAGGACGGTACGGCGTTTCGGGAAGAGGTGGCGGCAGCGGCGGCGGTGGATGCCGCGGAGGCGCGGGAGAGAGCGGAGGCGGCGGCACGGGGGGCAAGGATGCTGGGTGGGGAGGGTGGGGCGGTGGAGGAGGCGGCACGGGAGGAGGCGGAGCGGAGGCGGCGAGGGTCCAAGATGTTCATTACGAAGGGTCCCTGGGGCGGCAGTGCCGGCGGCGGCGGCGGCTTGACGACCTGAGGGGGCCCGCTAGACCACCCGCACGGCTCTCAGTCCGTTGTGTCTGACTGTCTGTGTGTAAATATGTGTGTAGACGAGTTGATCAGGTTTCTCCCAGACCCCCTCCCTGGAATACATATGTACCTGTGTATGTATGTAAGCCTATCCGTTGTTACGCTGCAAGTGCTGTACAAGTGCCCGGTACTACTGCCACTGCTACTGCTACTGCTGCTGCCACCTGGTTGAGACAGTTTGAGACTATAATGCCTGTGTGACGCCGTTACAAAACAATAAATCTAATCATGGCTACCGCGCTACTGCCGGCCAAGAGCCGGGGAATACGGTCCCGGAGGTCACTTTTCTACCAACAATGGGGTGACAGCTCGTCACTACGACAATTCATCTTGTTCATAATCCTGAGATTATGTACGGAAAATTTCTAAAACAAAGCAGGGCAAAGCTAAATCCAGTGCCGCTTCGTGTTAGAAGTCCATATTTAGAGCCCCCAAACCCCTAAAGTCATCGAATTAGCAACAGTATAAGTCCGGCATTACAGGTCAGTTAGCCAACCGCCGGCGAGCGGCTGTTGGTTGTAGCTAGCTACGGCCGTCAGATTGGACATACATACATGATCAATGGACGCGGGATATCAATAACGCCACGCGGCGTACGGCAATCATGCAGCAAGCCATGGCCGCCTCCCGGTGGGCTCCAGAGCGCCATGCATGCACGGCGAGGACTCGGGCTCTCCTCCGGCTGGGACGACAGGACGGGCTGGAAGCCCATACCACATACACAGCGCTCTAAGCTATAATTGAGTTGCGGCAGCTGGCAATCACATGCACGAGCATAGCTGCTTAACGGCACACAACTTCAGACGTCTATAAAGGAAGATGTGAACGATGCATACATGATCTACTATTGCATAAATAAATGCTGCTGGCAGCGCCATGCGACGTCCTAATGTGCTGCAGCATCAGCACGTCCGTGTGCATCCCTACCCACCTCCGTCACAGCTTTTCTGTTTCGAGGCAAGCAAAGTAAATCAAATTGTTTCGGAGAACGCAAAGTTGTGGGGCGCCCGCCTAGCCACATAGATTGGCAGAGTGTGCTGCAAGGCAACTGTCAGACGGCATTCCAGTTACCGGGTCGATATCGCCACCAACATCGACGACAACTGTCACAGCCCGCCGGGGCACACACAGGTAGTTGGACGTAGCGTACGACAGCCAATACTCCGCCATGGCCTCGATAGAATCACGCAGCGCCTCCCCGTCACTGTTAGATGCAAAGGTTACACACGCCTTGGCTTGGTTGTCAGTACATGCGACTGTGGACCCCCCATCCAGTAAGATTGCACTGTAGAAGTCCGCCTGAAGCGAGACGTCGTTGATGACCATATAGCCGAAAGCATAGCACTCCGCCATCGTCATCGGGCGGAAGTTGGGGTCCACAGCTGTGTCCTGGTATAATGTCATGTAGGCGCACACCTTGCATCCTGACACTGGGTTGACGGAAGGAGGCGGTGAAGGCGGCCCTGTTAAGGGGGCTCTCGGTGCAGGAGGTCGGGGTGCAGGAGGTCGGGGTGCAGGAGGTCGGGGAGAAGGAGGTCGGGGTGCAGGATGTCGGGGTGCAGGATGTCGGGGAGAAGGAGGCCGAGGGGAAGGAGGTCGGGGAGAAGGAGGGCGAGGGGAAGGAGGTCGGGGAGAAGGAGGGCGAGGGGAAGGAGGTCGGGGAGAAGGAGGGCGAGGAGAAGGAGGTCGGGGAGAAGGAGGGCGAGGGGAAGGAGGTCGGGGCGAAGGAGGGCGAGGAGAAGGAGGTCGGGGCGAAGGAGGTCGGGGTGCAGGAGGGCGAGGGGAAGGAGGTCGGGGAGAAGGAGGGCGAGGAGGAGGAGGGCGAGGAGAAGGGGAGCGGGGCGGGGGCGCAGGTGACTTGAAGGGTGGCGGTCTTAGTGGAGAAGGGCTGGGCGGGCGGGCGATGGCGCTGCTCGGCAAATTAGTGACCAGGCAGCATGCCCCCGTAGAATCGAACAGAGCAGCTGAGCACACACCACCAGCAGTGAGCTCCGGAGGCGGCTGGCACAGCTGCTCCAGGGTGGTGCAGCCGCGACCACCAGACAGCGTTATGCAAATCTGGGAGCCCGTACTGTTGAGACCCAGACCTAGCTGGGTGAGGCGCAGGACGACACTGACTGCTGGGCCGCCCGGGGGATAGCTGAACGCCGGGCTGACAGCAGTGGGCTTGCCGTTGAGGGTTGACTGTACGGTGACGGAGCCCAAGTCGCAAGTGGGCTTGACGTTGATCTGTGGATAGATGTTGGCAGTAGGGGCGGAATCACGTTATCTTCACACCCCAGGAAAGGAGTGCCATTTCTTTGGGCCGAAGTGGCGGCGGGCAGAGCAGCGGAAATTGGTCTATTTTCGAGCGACAGGCACTAAGGGTATTGGAGGAGAGCGCAGCTTGGTATTGATTTGCAGGATGATTTACTTGCTTCCGCAGCTCATCCGCGGTGCTTCGCGCTCACCTCGATTTTGTAGACATCCGCCTTGGTATCGCAGTACCCCGAAGTGCCCTGCTTCGCGGCCAGTGTGAAGCAGAACGTGTTGTTGGTGCCATATATTTTCGCTGATGGCGCCAGACTGTAAGCTGATGCAGCAGACGAGCAGTTGCTGAAAGGGAAGGAGGACGTCACGCCCGCAGCCTGATTTGCGCTGACCACCCTGCGCGGCGAGAAGTCGCACGATACGAGGTAAGAGGTTGGTTGTAAGTAATACATATAATGTTTTAATTAAATTCCATGGAGGCAATAGATGGTAACGCAGGATAGACGACGATAGACTCTAACGGGCAGGTAGGTCAAGGGAGCGGGGGAAACATAGCATCCCGCAATGATGGATGCCTAGGTATGGCAGGAAAAATCGAGGTTAATCCTGCTTAAAGGTAGGAAGGCGCTTCCTGGTGAACTCCTAATTTGCGTCGGCTAGTCAACTCACACAGCGATGGACGCTAAGAAACCCGCAGCCAGAATCTTCGCCGCCATATTGTGCTGCTGCATAGAAGACATATGGAAAATAAACTCATATTAGTGATGTATAGTGCTCCTAAACGCTGTTGTTTATCATGCTTTAGCGTAACAAAAATGCGATGTACATAACCAAATCTGTTAACCGCTCACATCATCAGATCGACGTGGAGCAAGACGGCCAAACCTCAATTAAGCTATATGCAAATATACAGTATACTGTTAGGTTTACCCGCTCGTTTGTAATGTGATCAAGAGAGCGCGGGAATTCAAACCAGAGCGGAGCTTATCGGTTGCGGAGGGCGTATTTTTCTTTCTGTCTCGGGATCTGGTGTTTCAACACTATGATGTTCTCTACCAAAGTTGTAATGGCCACGAAGTCTCATTCTTTGAGATGATGGAGTTTAAATGCCGATGCCTTTGGTTTCCAGTTGGAGCCCAGCTGACACTCTGAGGAGCCTTCGGCCTTATCGCAACGGCCAAAATGGAGTCCTCATAAGTACTACGGCATACATTAAGCCAGGCTGCAAAAGCCGACAAGCCTCCAAGGCTCCCGGAGGCCGGCAGGCAGGTGTCGCTCAGCCGCATCAATGCGCTTCAAGGCCCCAAACCACCTTGCAGCGGATAAAATGACGAAATGTTTGCTGTAGCTCTCCATCATGGAAATATTTGGATCGGACTTATCAAGGGTGCCGCGGTCCAGCCGGGCTCCCCATCCCGTGTCAGCGCCTGTGCTGCAGCCCGTTGCCCCAGCCGAAAACGATACCCCGCAAGGCTAGTGCATACATGTCTCGCTAAGCCACCTGAGTGTTGCGACTACCGGCACGTGTGATGGGAGCGCATTTCTCCAATCTGCTCTACTCTATGTACGGGTCGTTCTCACTCTACTCGCTTACATTGGTAAACGGCGCGCCCCGCGCGATGTGCAAGGCCAAAGCTGATCCGTCCGGTACACTCAAAACGGCTGTCAAAAGGAAAACCGAACGCGCCTACACCTGCCTGACCCCCCCACACCGTGGCTACTGTCCATGCTGCTAAATCATTATTGCTCCGTATTTCATACACCAAGATATTAATTGAGAAATTTCTGGTTTCACCTATGTCGCGTATACATATAGAACGAGCTGTGGCCGCACGTCTCGACAGGTGGTACTGCCGCGGTCTGGATGCAGACGCACAATCCTACCTACGGATGTGATCAGGCATGGCACCCAAACATGCAAGACCAGCACCTCCGGTTCGGTGCACCCCTTCACGAGCCGGCGAACGCGCAGCAGTTCATTGACGCATTGATTGTTGCTCCACTTCATTCATTTTCCATTCTTCAGGGCTCTGGTACCACTGACTGGTTGGGTGGGTGGGTGAAGTACAACCCAGGGGGTTTCTTTGCCCCCCGGCCCCCCCCCGGACGGCGACCGGGCGATTGCCGGAAGGTCACATCTTCACAGCCTCCAACCTCATCACCTTGTACAGTCCCCCAGCGACTTATTCCCCACATTTCAGGACCAACTCCGATAAATGCTCGCTCTCGCTCTCGGCGAACGAGGGCGAGGACGAGGCGCCAAAGTGGGCACCAGTGGACCAGTTGCGGGCGTTACCAACGCGGGCGTTACTGCCTCTCTCCGCCCTCTACCCGCCAGTTCGCACCGCCTTCACAACCCCTCCCCCTCCTCCGGGTCCATTCGCCTCTGCCCCCCGTCCCCCGTCCCCCGTCGAATAGCCCTCTCATCAAAAATACACAACAACAGTGCACAGCATACACGGCAGCCCCAAGAGCGGCCCTCTCCAGGCAGACCTGTAAACACATCCCAAACCTTATTGCCCCCTGCTACCAGCCCGCCTCTCTGCCGGGCTCTCCGACACCTCCTCAGCCAAGATACCGCACACAGGCCCACCCGCCTCACCGCCTCACGGGGCCCCCGGCCGATCACCAAATCAAGACCAGGCCCCGCGGCGGCAGGCCCCAACCGCCACCCTCACACACACACACTGACTCACTCACACACCCGCCTCACTAGCCATCGTCCTTCAGTCACAACAACTCCCACTCAACCAATCCCACGAGGCCCCCTCCTCCTCCTCCTCCTCAGCAGCAGCAGCAGCAGCAGAAAGCACCCACTCCCCTCCACACTCTCCCGCCTGCTGCTCAGCGGCAGTCCTACGCGGACCCCGCGTAGTGGTCCCACGTCTTGATCTGGTACTTGTCCTGCTTACGGAGCAGCCGCCGCTGCAACCGCAGCCGCTTGCGGCTGGTGCGGTGCGACAGCAGCCGCGTGGCTGCATCAAAGTCCACGTAGGTGGGATAGGCCGCCTCCAGGGGGGGGAACAACTGGATACCTGTCATCAACGGTTGACTGACCTCAATATGACTCGGCTGCATAGCGGCCCAGCAACTAATCTTGTCCATGTACGACACGTCGTACCGCGGCGCCGCCGGCGCCTCTGACCGGCCGTCGACCGCCACGTCCTCCGGCAGCATCGTCACGTCTTTGAGCGGCAGGAAGGTGCCGCGCCGCGGCAGCGGCGGCGCCGTTGCTGCTGACGTACCTGCGGCGGCGGTGGCGGCGGCGGCGGGCTCGTTGTCCCTGGTTGCGGTGGTTTCTTGAAGCTTGAGCTGGTGGGCTAGGTCTGTGTGGTTGTCCGCCCGTGGTTCCAGGTCGTGTTGCCGCATCTGTAAGGCGGTGGTCGCGACGGCTAAGTCCCGGAAGGACGCGGAGAGGGCGGTGAGTGCGCCTAGGCGCTGGGCCTGGTCCCCGGGCCGCCGGAGGAGGGATGTGAGGAGGGGGAGCTGCCGCCGCTGCTCCGGAGTCTGTGGTGGGTTGCGGAGAGGGGGCGGGGAGGGGGGGAATCAATGGTTATGATGATGATTATGATGGTGATGATTACGATGGTTATGATGATGATAATGATAATGATAATGATGGTTATGATGGTGGTGATGATGATGGTGATGGTGATGATGATGATGCAAGGGGGAGCTAACGGGGTCGAACTGGATGTCCCAAGCACTGCTGCTGCTGCTGAAGTCCGCGGGCGGAAAGGAAAGGGGGCGGGGGCGGGTGTGTGTGCTGGTGGGTTTCGTGTTTGTCATACTGGAGCGGGAGGTTTCGGCGGTAGGAGGCGGTAAGAGGGGGGAGGTGATGGCGGAGGTGCAGGTGGGGAGTGGGTTAGTGAGGGGGTGGGTTGCTATTCCCTGATAGGCCTTTTATCGCGCGCAGATATGCGTACATACATACGTACGTTTACATACATACACATACCACACAGTCCCGCGTACCAGGGGAGGAAGCCTTGCCGTCGCCGCTGCTGCTGCTGCTGCATCTTCGAGGCCCTGACCTTGGCCGGTGGCAAGCGAAGCTGCAGTGATGGCTACACGCCGGTGTCCCGAGAACCCAGCTGCACTTCCAGAGCAAGCCGCCGAGACATGTGGAGCCAGACGAGCTAATAAAGTACCTGTGTAATCAAGACCGGCCATGGAGAATTTCGTTTCAAGCTTGTTGTTTACGCGAGACTCACCGCTGCAACCGGCTGCCTGCATGGCGCAGCGACTTGACGTATATGTGACTAAACGTTAGTGTGGAAATCTCACTGGCCAGGCTTTGAAAAAAATGTATCGTATTTACACAAGCTGACCAGCAATCGACTGCTCTTCGCTTTTTCACTAGGCACCACACGATAAAAAGACATCAGCTAGACAGCTCCTAGTAGGGAAGCAATGATCACCTCCTTCACCAGCCACGCCAGTTGTCATTGTCGTGACGGCTCGTGGATTCATGTCGTGCACTAATGGGTGCCGTGCATGCGATTATTGGGAGCAACCTGGAATCATTGACCTTGCAACGCTTCTTGGCTCAGGCACTATGTTGCATGTTCCATACATTGCTGTCGACGCATGTATACCCCCAGTGGCTTTGAATCTAGGACTTCGTCTTATACATGAAAAATTCACCCTTTATAACACATAGCATACTTAGCTTGGCTTTGTTCAGAGTAATTTGTATCACTAGATTTTACTGCCCAGCGTATTGGTGATGTTTTGGCGCCCTTGACCTGGTTGGCAACTGTCGGTTCTTTTGGCTGTTGCCGTGGTAGATCCCCGTTGTCAGCCAGGCGAATATTTTGAGGTAGGTGACGATAACATAATCGTGTCTTTGCTTTGCAGCGTTCAGTGTGAAGGACCTCTCCATTTGGATTAGGAAAACTCACAACTTGGTTAAATTGGGACTATGCTGCGTCATTAGATTATGTTATTATTAATGTATACAATCCGCCCGCTCCTTGTATTGCTGTCCTTGCTATTGCCGAACCCTGGCGTCGAGTGTCTTGCTGGAACGGACACGTGCACATAGTCTGATGTATGTTCGGTTGATACGGAAAAGCTGCACTTACGCTTCATGCGGTGCCAGATCACTATAGTCTCCGCCTTAGTACCAGCTTTTCGTCCCTTGTGCTCGGCGTTGAAATCGCGCACGACCTCATCGCCCCGCACTGCCGCATAAAAGTGCAGCGAGACATTTTTAGAGGTGTAACCCGTTAGGCTTTCGCCAATCGCTGTCCTTTGCACTGGTCCAAGGTATGATGTACGGCTCGAACTTCTAGCAGCGCGAGGCATATCGGCATGTTCGCATGTGCGTACAATCTGCTCCAACTCACACTTCGCAGGTTGCGTTTCACGCCTGCCGCAGAGTCGAACGACCGGTGTTTATCGGTCTGTCCTGGGAGCGCTAACCGACTTCCTGCACCGTTGTCATGGAGGCCAGCGTACCTATTGCGACGGACGAGCCCATGGGTCCGCTACCCTCATCGGATTTACCGCAGATAACAACGACTTCACATTGCGCAGCGCCAAACCATTCAGCTCCCACAACTTCGAATTTCATATCGGCATCGTCACCGTCGTCACTCGGCACATCAGCCTCACTCGCACTCGCGGCAGGAGCCGACACCTCTCCTGCCGCCATGTTGGCGGCTTCCTTGGTGCGCTCTCGCGCCACCTACTTTGAACGTCTGTCCTCACGCACCTCCATTGCCACCACCTCGTCCATCGCGCCGCAAGAGGACGCAGGTGCATCGGCGGCCTCCGCGCAACCCCCCTGCTCTCCCACAACCCGCCACTCCACCACATTATCATCAAAGGTACTGCACCCCCTGGCACCGCATCCCCTATCGGCCGTGCCGCGAACGGGCGGCGGCTTCGGCATCGGTGCCGCCGCCGCGGCGGCATCCAGCTGGCGGCGGCGAGAAGCCGAGCCGCCCCCGCCCCCGCAACAACAGCAACAGCAGCAAGAGCAGCAGCAGCAACAGCGAGGCAGGCAGCAGCGGCAGCTTCAGCGGCGGCGGCGCGGGCCGACGATGCCCCAGAGCCCCTCCTGCTCCACCTCCACCGATTCAAGCCCAGAGGATCGATGTGGTGGGGGAGGTGGGGGTGGGGGAGGGGATCAGGGTCGGAGCGATCAGGACGATGACGGGCCCGGAGGTGCTGAGGACTCAGACGACCCGGATTCGTTGGGTACGTTTTTCGACAAGCCCTCCTACACCCGCTACGGCGCAGCAGTGGAAATGTCCCAGGCTTCATTCCACGGCGGTGGTGGAGGGAAGGGAGGAGGACCCGCAGCGGCTACTGCGGCCGCCGGATCAACAGCAGCAGTAGCAGGCGCAGCAGCGGCGGCAGTAGTGCCGGCGCAGTGCCCGGCTGGTTCTAGCGCGCCGGCGCCTTGCGGTGGCGAGGCTGCAGCAGCAGTAGCACCTGCTGCCGCCGCCGTCGGCGGTTTGTGCAGCGGCAGTAGCGGCTACGTCCGCAGCATGTCGGCCCACTTTGCTCGGGTATCCAACGGCGCGGTACATTACCGAGGCTGTAGCGGTGGTACGGCAGGTATGGATGGATTGTTCGACGACCTGGTGGCCCACGTGGGGGCCCTGTTGGCCTCCCACCCCAGTGTGGAGACCCAGATGGGTATGGTTCAGGGGCTCTCTGACAGACTGCTACAGCTACATGCGCTGTGCGAGGTGCTGGGTCGCAAGGTGCGAGGGGGAAAAGGAGGGAAGCGGATGCGGCCTCACGGAGGGGGGGTGGATTGACTCCCGGGGGGGCCTGGAGGAGGGGAAATAAGTTTAAACAGGAAGGCGACAACTGCACCCGCCCCTTTGGGGGTAGAGGAGGGGTTAGGGGTAGGGCTGTGGGAGGGGGGTAAAGGGGATTGGGGAACCGTCAGACGTGGATGTGAAACGTGAGGGTGTTGGGGAGGAAGGTGTGTGTTGGGGTTATAGGAGTGAGTTGGGGTTTGAGTTGTGTGGCCCCTACCCCCCTTCGTGTTCGAGAGCTCTACTCCTGAAAACACATCTGTAGTATGTGTAAACACCTCTTGGCATGTACATGTGTGTTATGTATGTATGTATGTATGTCCCCCTCACGAGCAGCAGCTTCAATCGTGTGTGCTTCGTCTTTCCCCCTCACCCCCAACCCCCGCAACACCCACCCTTGTTTCAGGAGGACGAGGTGGAGCACCTTCGTGGGGTACTGCGCGAGCTGACCACCACCCGGGCGGAGGCGATACGGCTCAAGGTGCAAATGGCGGAGAGCTTGAACGGACTACAGCAGGAGTACTGCAGGTGGGTGTTTGATGACACGGCGCAGGCGGGGGCCGTGTAGTGGTGTGTACTGCTGCTGCTGCTGTGTACGGGATCTCTCTGGGGATTGGGGCTGCATGTGGTCGACCTCTAGATGCCCCCAGCCACCTGCAAGGGCGGCTGGAGGGGCCGCTCCCGCCCCTGTCTCTGGTCAGTTCTACGTCTGGTACACTCTTGCCCTGGCAGCAGCTTCACTCGTTTGTGGTTCCTCTCACACACCCCCCTCACACACCCCCACCCATTCTCACACCCTCTCACTCCCCCACCCCCGGGTCCCAGGGTCCTCCGCTCCGCCCAGTTAGCCCAGGGCACTTGCAAGCAGCACTCCGCCAGGGCGGCCGCCACTCGCAAGCAGCTGCTAGAGGTGCAGGGCGAGCTGCTCAGGTACAAGAGGGCGGTGGCTTCGCTGCGGGACCGCAACCGGCGGCTGCGCAGCGAGAACGAGGACATGTCCGCGAGGCTGTCGGTGCTGGAGGGCACCCGGCTGGTGGTGGGGGCGGAGGGGCACCGTAGCGCCTGTTACATGTCGCTGTTGCAGGCACAGACCCCCGTGCTGTATTGAACAAGCTGGGAGTGAGGGGGGAAGGGCGGGGGATGAGCTAGAAGGGTGTTTCATAGGTGCATCGTGGACAGGGTAGGTACGGCCATGCCGTACAGAGGCTGCTTAGGATTAGACCTGCCGAGGGAGGTTGCTGATCTCGTACAGTCATAGAAGGTGTAGTGGTGGTGGTGGGAATGGGGGTGGAATGGTGGTGGGAATGGGGGTTGGGCTGTCAACAGAGGCCGTTAGGAAAGGAAGGGGTCGTGAAAGGGAAGGAGGGAGGGAGCGAAGAATTTCAGTCTTGGGGGTACTGGCGATTGTTTCCTTTCCTAGGGGGGGTGGCTGCTGTCCTGTCCTGTCCTCACACAAGTTGTTGTCGTTTGCTGGGCTGTGTGCGCCATTGTTATTGTTGTCGTTATTAATGTTACTATTATTGTTATTGTGGCTGTTGGCTGGAAGGGGGAGAGAGAGAGAGAGAGGGGTCGCGTACAGTGAGCTGCAGTGAGGGGTAGGTCTTGTTGCGTGGTGGCCCCGATATTGATTTCTGTTGTTCGGTATGTCGTACTACTTCGTCGTTACTACTTCGTCGTTACTTTTCTTTGTTTCTTTTTCCGTTCTTTCTCGGTTTGTCTCTTATCGTCATATGGGGGTTGCGAGTGTGTTTCCCCCGGGACCCCCTTCGCTCCCCCCCCCTACACTGCATCCCCAGTTCTGCCCGGCATGACGGTACTCCCCCTGGGCTCTCATCATTTAACTTAACCCTCAATTCTCCAGGATGATGTTATCCGGGGATAAAGGGGTAAAAGGAGTCCAATAGGGCGGTAAGGACCCCGAGCTGTGCTGGGTCGGGGGCAAGGATTGCCAGGGGAGAAGGGCCCCACCTTCCCCCCCTCCAACACACACTCACTTTTCCACATACACACACACTCTCTGTCTCACATACATACATGTACACACACGCGCGTGCGCGCGCGGAACAATGGCCCCATCGCAGGATGGATGGATTCATAATCGTGCTGCCTAACTTATCTACCCGTCTAGCTATTAGCTAGATAGTTCCCTTCCCTGTATAGGTGACTAAATGGGTAGTTGTGGTTGGTTGTAGTTATTCACGCGCCGTGTGGTTGCAGAAGCTGGGACTGGGACGTCGTATCTAGCGGGCCTTATGGAGGAGGCCGTTGTGTTTCCTATGATTGGTGATGTGGGGTACATCGTCGATAGGGTCGTGTAGTGCTGAGGGGGATCTGAGGGGGAATTGGGAGCGTATGTGTGTGCCTGTGTTTTGTGGAGGAGCGTTGTGCGCTGGTGGGGCAAACAAACCTTTAACGCTGTATCGTATAATATGTGAAGAAGATTGTACAAGCTGGCGGGTCTCTGTTCGCGTATGTTATGTTGCGTTGCGATGACGACGGCCTGGCCAAATTTGGCTCTTCTTTCTGCAGGACGTTCGGAAAGGGATTTTGCCGCTTATGGCGGCAAGCGGCTGCCCATTTCTCTAATATGCTGCGTTAGGTAGGGATTGTTCAGGAATGCGGCCTAATCGACCGGAATTAGTTTTGGAAGGCTTGACGAGCATTGAAGCGTGACACACACGTCCTGAATCAGCAAAATTTCTTGTTAATAAGTTGGATCCTGCCTGGATTCAGAGCTTTCATACAGTAGCCTTGGCTTTGGAGGTGGCCAAGCAAGCGTAGCTGGGTTGACCTCGTCTCTTTTCTGCTTTTGCGCGGGTTGCGTTGCCGTGCCTGGACTCGAGCGCAGGCGTGGAGTGCGCCTTGTGCTTTATCTTGGCTGTATCTCACGTAGGAGCATAAGCATTGCACGTGGTAGTTTTTAGTGCGATCTTACACCTTAGGGCTTGGCTAGGCTGTTCGACGGGTTTCTTCGAAAATGTCCTTGAAGATTGGAGAATTTTATTTTTTGCATGATGGGTTCCGGAGTCACAAGATTATCGGAGCAAGTGTGCTTGTAAGCAAAAGAGTTGTCCACGACGTCGCGCCAAGAAAGAGGATCTAACCGTTTCCGTTGTGTTGAAATATTGCGCTGAGCGGATCCGGTCATAAGAATTGATGGAAAAGAATTGTATGAAGGTATGGCTGAATGAAATCTTGTAGCGTTCCCATAGTTCCCATAGTTTAGTTCCCATAGTTTAGCGGAGAGGCTGCCTTCCTTGAAAATATGCCATCTTTGATTTTCTCCAGACCAGACCACATTAGAACACTATGTGGTTCATATGCTATATCTTTCTATAGAAAAGGCACAACAAGCTGCGTTTTATCGCCTTTACCGGTGAAGATGCAATGCGGCGATGTTGTACGGCAGCCGTTATAATTGGCGCCAGTCAGTTTGCATGTGTGCAAAGAGCTCAGCTTTCTAGCTTATCAATTTCGCATGTGAAAATGCTTCAGGTGGTCATAGATCTGCCCTTTTCATGGCGAACACAGTAGATCTACATAGTTTCCGGCCCCGAAGCAGGCCACCTGCACCATCAGCTGTCAACTCCTGGGCCCATAAAAACGTCAATCTACACAAGCAACAACCAACGCGCCAGCCTACGGCCGTAAACCTTGAGCACCTGCGGAACGCGCTGATCGAAGCACGACATGTCTCCGGCCCCGAGGAACATGCTGAAATCAGTTCCGGTCTATTCCCAACCAGCGCTGGCAGATCTAGCACACATACGTGGCGTCTGCCGCCTGCGGCTTGTAGCCCAGCGCCAGCGCCAAGTACGCATCCTGCCATTCCGCCAGCTACCCGGCAACTAATCCACAGCAATACCAGTTCACAAAATGCTGGCGGCTACGGAGGAGCTGGACACGTGTCTCCTGCACCGGACCCTAGCCGTAGCGTCTCTGGCCAGTCGGATGCACAGCAGCTGCGACACAAACCACAGCCCGACGCTCAGCCCTTCGGCTCCGGCCACCAGCACTTCTCGCCATCCGCACACACGCATGCCGCCGCCACACCCCTCCTCCCAAATCGCACTCTTCCCGCCCAGCCGGTACCGCTTTCGTCACCACCATCGCACCCAAACCCACATCAGCATCATCAGCATCACCAACACGAATATCAACACCATCAACACCATCAACAACAACAACCCGGCTCCCATGCACCGCTGCAACGCGCCACTGCCGCTGCTACTGTTACTGCTGTCGCCGCCACCGGGCCATTCCCCACCGCCTCGAGTGGGACTGTATTCCGGACTGGAAGTAATTTTCCCGACAAAAGTAACAGTACTCGGCCTCAGTCCGCCGCTCGCCACGCGCCTTTCCCCCCCGTCCCCTCTGCCTCCCACTCCGGCGCCTCCAAGTGGTTCTGGGACTTGGACACCGAGCTGCTGGACGGACTGGACGGGGTGACCCCGGGGGGGAAGCTGGAGGTGCAGGAGGAGGGGGAACCGCGTGGAGAGGCGAAAAACCCAAATCGAAATCAAGATCCAAATCCGCATACGGCAGCAGCATTGAGCATTCCACGTGGGAGCAGCCACCAACGCAGCAGCTGCCACAACACCACCCCCAACAACAACAGCACCAACAGCATTAGCACTGGGCAGGTGCGGCCAGTTGCTAATCTGCTACTGCGGGAGGTCCCAGTGTACCGGGGACCAGGGCCCGGGCAACCGCAGCTGCCGCAGCCAACCCCCCGGACCCCGCCAGTGACCCCCGGTAGCCAGCATCCTTCAGCACCAGCTGGATGGGGCAAGTACCTGAATCCGGGTCTGGATCCGGATTTGGATGCCGGGCGTCTTTCATCCCACCCGCCGGCTCCGGCTCCTTATGGTCCTTCACGGATGGTGGGTCCACCTCCTGCACCTCCACCTTCTTCTGCACCTCCACCTTCTTCTGCACCTCCACCTTCTTCTGCACCTCCACCTTCTTCTGCACCTCCACCTTCTTCTGCACCTCCACCTTCTTCTGCACCTCCACCTTCTTCTGCACCTCCACCTTCTTCTGCACCTCCACCTTCTCCTGCACCGCCTGAGGGGCACACGGGGACACGTGCTGGTAGTGGCGGAGGGTGGGCAGCTGATGGTGCTGGTAGTGGCGGAGGGTGGGCAGCTGATGGTGCTGGTAGTGGTGGTGGGCAGTGGTGGGAGGACCTGGACGACCTCCCAGGGGGAGAGGGAGGGGGAGGGGGAGGGGGACAGCCAAATGGCGAACAGATACCTCAACAGCAGGGGGCAGCAGCGGCTGCGGCTGCGGCCGGGGCGGCAGCGGCAGCGGCAGCGCCTAGACGGAGGCGCAGCTCAGCTCCCAAGCAGGCTGTGTTGACTGCGGACGGCGGCTGCATGTTGCCGCCACCGCCCCCGTCAGCGGGTGCCTGTGGAGGGAGCTGGAAGGCAGGGCGACTTGCTGGTGCTACTGCGACAACGGTGATGGTGGGTGCAACGGCGATGGCGGCGGCTGCAATGGAGCAGCAGCAGCAGCAGCAGAAGGGTGCGGCGGCGGCGGGGTCGGGGACTGCGACGCGGAAACGCCCACGCAGCGACGGTGAAGCCGCTGCTTCTGGTGGAAGGGGCCTTATGGCGGCAGCGGCTACTGCGGCGGACGCGGATGCCGCCTCCGGTGCTACTGCTACTGCTACTGCTACTGCTGTTGTTGGCGGCAAGGGCAGTAAGAGGAAGGGAGCGGCTGGGAGAGAGAGCTGTGCTCGGGTGTCGGGACTGGGAGGAGGTGGAGGAGGGGTGGTTGGGGAGCTGATGTCGCAGCTGCTGCCGCTGTGCGAGGTTTTGGAGCTGGAGGGCAGGGGAGGAGGAGCAGGAGGAGGAGGAGGATGCAGCTGGGTTCGCGATGTGGCTGATCCCCGGGTATGGTGGGGGGTTGGAAGTGTGGTGGGCGGGGGGGGTGGCGAAATGTTGTCGTACATGCCACACAGCGGTGTCTTGAGGCTTCCCAGGGTAACCCAGGTTAAAGCGGAGAAAGGGTGATGCCAGACTTTGTGTACGTATGTATGTATGTATGTGCATGAGTGTGTGTGTTTTGATGTGCCCTACCTTCACCATGTTTGTTTTGCTTTCCGGTGTGTATACCAATATCCAATTCAATCTAATCCCTAACAAAGTATTCCCTTTCCTTGCTTGGCTTTTCATAATTCCCTCAATGTACGATTTAGGACGTCAACCAATTTGGCCTTCCTCCATTTCTATCTTGCGGTTGACGACTTTTAAAATTACATTTATTTTCTCTAGGTGGTTCCGGAGCTGCTTGGAGACATCTCCCGCAGTCGGCTGTTGCTGGTGGGGCTGCTGGTGGCGGTGTGCGAGGGACCTGTCTACCAATACGCAAGTAACATGCAGGTACAACATAGTACGGCATCTCTTTACTCGTATTCCCATCCGTCCCCTCACTCTGACGCGCTCCCTTCCCACTCTCTCTCCCTCCCCTTACCCCCTTCTCCCCCTCTCCTTCCCCCGCCCGGTCTGGTGGTGGTTGCAGAGTGTGTCAAAGCCCCAACGGGACGCTCTTCTCAAGGCCAGGAGGCTGCTGGTCAAACACCCCGCTGCAGCAGCAGCACTCAATCCACCCAACCACCTCAACCACTACCACAACCGCCATAACCAAACGGTTACGACAGGTTGTACGACCACTACCGCCATGAACACCACCACCATGAGCACTACAGCCCCAGCTACAGCTAGAGCTACAAACACACCTAACCAGGTGTCCACGTCAGCTCCCCGCTTTGGTTCCGGAGTACTGGCTTCGGAGCACTTGGAGCGGTGTGTCGCGTTCTGTGTGATGTGTTTAGACGAGAAACTGTACGACGAGCTGCTCCGTGGCGGCGCCGCCGGTGCCGCCGGTGCCGACGCTGGCGGCTTCAATAGCGGCGGCGGTGTTGGAGGCCGTGATGACGGCGTCACGCGGGCGGCAGTAGCCGCAACCCTCACCCCCACCCCCCCCACCACGGGACTCTCCTCCACACCCATGTATCTGCTGCGGACGGGCTCCTGGCCGCTCACCCCTCTGTTGCCATCCTCGTGGTCATCCTCGTCCTGGCCGGCTGCTAACGGGCAAGGAGGAGCAGCAGTAGCAGCAGGAGGTGGGTGTCCGGCCCCATTACTCTCCAAGCCGCAGCCGCAGCCGCTGTCCCGGGCCACCTTGATCTCTCTGCTAGATCGGGTGCTGGTGGGGGCGCCCTGCCCCGTGCTGTGCTGCAACTCCAAGGCGCTTCTCCGGGTGAGGAGAACGCGGGTCTAGGGGGTGGGGTGGGTGGGGTGTAGGGGTCGAACAGCAGATGTACATATCTTGTGTGTGTGGGAGGGGTCGGTA